AGCTGCTGACCCGCAGCTTGTCCATGTGGCATGGGCTGGGTGCGCAGGTCAGCCGGGAGGAGCTGGCCGTCCCCTTGGATCTTCACACAGCTGCTTCCATTGGCCAGTATGAAGTGGTGAAGGAATGTGTGCAGCGGTAAGAGATCTTGGAAAATGTTCCTTCCTCTTGGAGTTTTGAGCTCCATGGCTCAGCTCTCAGGTGGAGCCATCAGGGAGCTAGCGGGGGCCTTGCCCACAGCTGTAGACATTTAATCCTTGGGTGGATCAACTGCTGCTTCTCTTGGGCTGTTGTCAGGGATGATTTATGCTGGATGCCAATAAAGAAGGCAGTTTTGATTCCGAGGAAGAAAAAGGCAGCTTAAACTTGTTTCATAGGCTTAGAAATTGTTCATTTCAGGCTTACTTTAACCAGAGTAATTTTATGGTTTTCACTAATTGCAGAAATGCTCAAACAAAACAAAAATAAAGATTGAAAGCAACACCCTATGGCCTTCTTTCCCCAGAAGCTTCATTTTAATCCCTCCTGCCGCCCTCTCCCCTTTAGCTTCTGCCATAGAGGAGGAGGAGGGGTTATCCCCACCTGTAGGATTGCACCTTACTCACTGCCCACATGCCGTTTTCACTGATCTTATGTGCATATTAGGTCCCCCTAAACAGCACTGCTTATTAGCGCCTTCTTGTTTGAAGTACGGTTTGATGCTTAATGTAATTTTTGGAAAGGGATCCATCTTCTCATCTCTTCCCACTTTGTCCGCCACACTTTGTGCTCACTGTTATCATCTCATTGATAACTTAGAGAAACGACCTATGTCCATACCTGCCTGGGCCTTTTCCAGTTCCAGCTTGGGGAGTTAAAGCAGAGCCTCGTGGAAGCCCCGTTTCTGGCTCCCAGGTCGTAGCCATCACTTATGAGCATCTGGCCAGTTGGTACTTCTGTACCGGGCAGGTGTGCAGGCAGCACATCCCCCGACAGGGTCACCACGACCCCACCTATAGTTCTGCTCCTTTAACATTCACAGACTTTAAGCCTTCGGGTGTGCTGTTAAAATGAACAGTCCAGAACGGCTCTAGGAAGTGTTTGTGTTCTGATTGGGGTTGTGACACCTGCTGAGACGGAGGCTGGTGCACAGTAAACACACTGGGGACCCGAGGGGGATTTGGAGGGGTCAGAAGGGAGGATTCGGCTGAAGGGGGTTGCCAGAGCCCCAGGGCCACTCTGCTAAGGGGTCGGGGTGGGGGCACCTCCCTGTCCATGTGGGACAGCGTGTGGTGAGAATGGGCTGGTCTCCAGGTGGCTCTCCCAGCCAGTGGCTACCCCTGCATTCCTGGGATCAGGACCTGGGAAATGGCTGCCTGGGTCCAAAGCCAGGGTCAGTAAAACGTGCTGGTGAATGGAAACTAATTGTCTGGTGTAGCTTAGTGTGCGTATCTAGGAGAGGCACGAACTGCGTGGGTCGACTGTCATTTGGTACCTCCACTGGAGGTAAGGATTGTGGAGGAGGAAAGACTGGGGCGTGAAACAGGCAGGATGTTCCTGGAAGTGGGTCTTACTTCCATCCCCCGACCCCGAACTCTGGGTTGGGAAGCCTGCATTGTTTTTCCTGTGGGAAACACTTTTCCAGAATTGTAATGGAAATCAGTGAGAAAGACAGGATTCTTCACGGATTTTTCCAAGAATGTTTCTGTAGGGTGGGACGACAAAGGAGAAATCGTCCACTGTCTGAGTCCCCTCCTCTTTCCTCTCCCCTCAGTTCTGGACTAGCAGACTGGTCTGTTGGCGGGAGGTAGTCAAGGCTCCAGGTCAGCGTTTTTCGGCCTCGGCACTACTGACAACCTGGGCCAGCTCATTCTTTGTTGTGAGGGGCGTCCTGTGCACTGTAAGATGTTGAGCAGCATCCCTGGCCTCCACCCACCGGATGCCAGTAGCTTTTCCCTCTCCAGTTGTGACAACCAAAAATGTCTCCAGACTTTGGCAGCTGTCCCCTGGGGGCAAAATCTCCTGTGGTTGAGAACCATCTATGTAGCTGGTGGTAGCAAAAAAGAGAATTGCTGGCCTTAGGGTAGGAGGAGGGTGCAGATGAGAATGAAAAATCAGAGGAGGGAGGCAAAAATCAGAGGAGGGAGTTTGCAAAGGCAGTTGTCCAGCAAGTGTAATCACTACCCACCCTCCCCGCCAGTGATGTCCAGGGTGGCATATGACTCTGCTTCCTGTCAGCACTTCCTGCTCTTTCTCTTGGCCTGGCCTGGCCACCGGCTTTGGTAAACCCCACCTATGAGATGGCTGGCATGTCTAGCATGTCTTGCGTTTGTTTAGGAGAGAGTTAGATTTGAATAAGAAGAATGGTGGTGGCTGGACCCCGCTGATGTATGCTTCCTACATTGGACACGATACCATCGTGCACCTGCTGCTCGAGGCGGGGGTGAGTGTGAATGTGCCGACCCCGGAAGGGCAGACTCCGCTGATGCTGGCTTCCAGCTGTGGCAACGAGAGCATCGCCTATTTCCTCCTCCAGGTGAGCTACGAGGGCCTCAGGCCAGAAACTTGAGGGGCCCCCGGCCGCTCTGCAGAGACGTGAACCACTGCAGGCCCCTGTGTGCCTGCGTGTGCTCGGGTAATCACTTCGATTCTTTCAGCTTGATGGCTTGGAGGGCGCCCACCCTGCGCAGAGGAGACGCGGCCTTAACGAGCATTCTGTGTTCTCTTGAAGCAAGGTGCTGAGCTAGAAATGAAGGACATTCAAGGCTGGACTGCCCTCTTCCATTGCACCAGTGCTGGGCACCAGCAGATGGTCAAGTTCCTTTTGGACAGTGGAGCGAACGCCAATGTGAGGTGATTACAAGGTCTTAAGTGGCTGCAGGAGGGAGGTGGTCACGTCTGACTCTGAGTAGGGCAACTGGTGAGGCAGCTAGAGGCTGGAGTGCAGGGAGCCCCTGCCTTGGTTTGACAGGCTCAAGACAAAGGGACGGAGGGGACAGTCCTGCCTAGGCGTGGAGGCATGGGGATCGTCCTAGCTTTCTCATGCATCTGTCAGGTGGCATTGTGTGCAACACTTTAAGTTCTCTGTGCCTTATTTCCTTTATCTGAAAACAGGATGGCAATGCCCATGTCATAGAACTGTTAGAAGAATTACATGTTCTGTCATATAACAGGTGCCTAACATAGTGTGTGGCACTGAATTGACATGCATTAAATGCTAAATCCCTTTAGCTTTCTTGCCTTCGGTATGTATCAGGTGAGGTGATACTTTGAAAACAGTCATGAGTTTTAAATATAAGCTGGAAGTAGGGTTGTTGTCTAAAGCATATCACCATGATAATCCTCTTTCAACCCAGCATTCACCTGACACTGCACACCCTGGCTGGTGTCAGCCGTTGTAACACAATGTAGGTTTACAGGCCATTAAGAAAGAAAAAAAATGCTCCTAATTAAAATGCATTTCATTTACTGACATTCTGACTTCAGCGATGCTAAAATGTGAAAACTGTGTGTCTTCGAACGGATGAAAACCAGTGGTTAGCTTGCTTCCTGTCTTCTAGCCCAGGTGAAACCAGTGAGGACTTGGTGGGGGGGGGCACTCTGAAGAGGGCGCTGAGTTAGCCGTAAGCACGCATTAGGTGTAGTGAGGGCAGGAGATGGTTAGTCCTGGAGCTCCTGGAAGGGTTCCTAGAGGATGTTGATCTCAAAATGTAGTATATCTGGATAGGTGGAGAGGAGGTGCTAGCTGTCTGTGAGCAGTGAAGGGCGACAGCTACTTTTTGCTGTGATTAAGTAGAGATTCAGGCCATAGCAGTGGGGGAAACAGCTAAGAAGGAGTGAAGATGGGAAACAGATTGTCTTAGGAACAAAAGACTAGACCTGGGGTAGAAACCACGGGACTGATGTGTTGATACTCACTTTCTCATCTCTCCCCGTTCAGGGAGCCCTCTAGGCTTAGGGATGGGTGACTTTGCGTCACTGAGGTTTTGTCTGCAGCAGGCAAGCTTCTGCCCCCCAGAGCTTCCTCTGCTCATCATCTGACTGCAGTCTCGATCTTGCAGGGAGCCCGTATATGGATTCACTCCTTTGATGGAAGCGGCTGCCGCTGGCCATGAAATAATCGTGCAGTATTTTCTGAATCATGTAAGTGACCCTGTTTATTAGGTTATAATTTAGTCACAGCAAGTGAGGCATCATATCACTGAGGAATAAACTGTAACAGAACTTTCTCCTACACAGAAATAACTGCTCTTCATCCATTTATTCAACACATTTTCATTGAGTATCTGTTGATGCCAAGTGCTGAGTGGTGCTTAGGCATTAGGGGTACAGTGGTGAGCAACTATAGACACCTATTCCTGTAATAATTTTAAAAATAGTATTATTTGAAAAGTATGGAAAAAATTTTAAAACAGTAAATAGCACTCATCATCCCATCACTTAAATCATTTATATAGAATAAGGAGGCAAAGATCTTCCTTCCTTTTCCACTTGCCCCCTGTTCCCCCACAAGATGCCCAGTTGGTTGTTAGAGACCCAGGATTTTCCTCTGCTGAGAAAGTATGTCTGTAGACACCTGCGAACACATGGCTTTTTGTTTTGAACAAAGTGGGATTCTACTGTGTATTTGATCTGCAGCTTCTAAAAAATAATATGCCATAGACATCTTACCTTTGTATGGTATTCCATGCAGTATCCATGCCATAGTTAGTTCAGTCAGTTCCTTATTAGTAGAAATTTAGGTTTCTAACATTTTGCAATTATAAGCAGTGCTCCAGGGAATATCTTGGCACACACAGCTTTAGCACGCATGCAGTTATTTCTGTATGCTGTATTTCTACAAGAGGGATTGCTGGTGCTCACATTTTGAACTTAATAGGTCCTAATGAAAAGGCAATTAGGGCTTCCCTGATGGTGCAGTGGTTAATAAGAATCTGCCTGCCAATGCAGGGGACACCGCTTTGAGCCCTGGTCTGGGAAGGTCCCACGTGCCATGGAGCAACTAAGCCCGTGCACCACAACTACTGAGCCTGCGCTCTAGAGCCCGCGAGCCACAACTGCTGAGTGCATGTGCCACAACTACTGAAACCCACGTGTCTAGAGCCCGTGCTCCGCAACAAGAGAAGCCACCGTGGTGAGAAGCATGTGCACCGCAACGAAGAGTAGCCCCCGCTCTTTGCAACTAGAGAAAGCCCATACACGGCAATGAAGACCTAAAGCAGCCAAAAATAAATAAATTCATTAATTTAAGGAAAAAAACGGGCAGTTAAATTAAAAGACAATAAAAAGATGGGCAAAGGATCTGAAAAGATACATCTCCAAAGAAGATACACAAATGGCCAATAAGCACATGGAAAAATGCTTGACACCATTAGTCATCAGGGAAAATGTCAAATCAAAACAGCCAGGAAAATAATAATATAATAAAAAAAGACAATAACAAGAGGTGGTAATGATGTGGAGAAATTGGAACCCTCATACCCTGCTGTAAATGAAAAATGATGCAGCCTCTTTGGAAAACATTCTGGTAGTTCCTCAAACAGTTAAGCATAGAGTTACCATATGACCCAGCACTTGGATATGTACCACTCCTAGGTATACACCCAAGAGAACTGAAAACAGGTCCAGGCAAAATCCTGTACATAACTGTCCATAACAGTATTGTTTGTAATAGTCAAATGGTGAAAAGAACCCAAATGTCCATAAGCGGATAAATAAAATTGTTACATGCATACAATGGAATATTAATTGGCCATAAGAAGGAGTGAAGTACTTCCCCGTGCTACAACCTGGATAGACTTTGAAAATATGCTAGGTGAGAGAAGCCAGATACAAAGGCTGATTATTGTATTATTCCTTTTGTATGAAATGTTCAGTATAAGCGTATCTGTGGAGACCATTAGATTAGTGGTTGCCTAGGGCTGGGGGGAGGTACAGGATTTCTTTTCAGGGTGATGAAAATGTTCTGAAATTGTGGTGGTGGTTGTCCACCATTGAAGTGTAAACTGTAAGTGGATGAATTGCATGATAGAAGAACTATATCTTAATAAAGTTGTTTAAAAAGTTCAACGGGGGAAATATTTAGTAAGTTCTAACAAATTCCCACTAAACAGATGTCTTTCTTGTCCTTCCCACCAGTAATACATGACGATGCCCATTTTCTCACATCCTCACCAGCCCTAGATGTTACCATCGTAAAGTTTTGCCAGTTTGGTAGGAGAAAAGTGGCATCTTGTTTTGGTTTGTACTTATTAATGAGTGAACATTTTAAAACATATTTATTGACCATTTGTATTTCTTTTATGAATTGTCATATTATTTATTTATTTATGGCTGTGTTGGGTCTTAGTTGCGGCTCGTGGGCTTCTCTCTAGTTGTGGTGCATGGGCTCCAGAGTGCACGGGCTCAGTAGCTGTGGTGTGAGGGCTCTCTAGTTGTGGCACATGGGCTCAGTAGTTGTGGCTCACAGGCTAGTAGTTGCGGCACACGGGCTTAGTTGCCCCGTGGCATGTGGGATCTTAGTTCCCTGACCAGGGAGCGAACCTGCATCCCCTGCATTGGCAGGTGGATTCTTAACCACTGTGCCACTGGGAAATCCTGTTTGTTTTTTTTTAAACTTGTCTATCCTGGATTGTTCTATATCAGTAGATATAAAGCTCTTTTCTTTCTTGTATGGCAGCATAGCACTCCCTTGTAGGGATGAATCAGTTTCTCTAACAGTGGTCTGCAGATAGAATCAAGTTGTATTTGCCATCATGCACAGTGCTGTGCGGGATATCTGCACACACACTTCTCCACACACTTGTGCGACCACACCTCTACAGTTCGGTACTAAAGGTAGAAGTTTTGGATGTAGCCTAAGTACAGCCATAACGTGGATGTTGCCAAATTGCTATCCAAAGAGCAAGTTGTACCAACTTGAACGGTGTCTACAGCAGTAAGCATTTTGACTCTTAAATTATGAAGTTCGGGTTTCCCTGGTGGCGCAGTGGTTGAGAATCTGCCTGCCAATGCAGCAGACAAGGGTTCAATCCCTGGTCCGGGAAGATCCCACATGCCACGGAGCAACTAAGCCTGTGCCCCACAACTACTGAGCCTGTGCTCTAGAGCCCATGAGCTACAACTACTGAGCCCACGTGCTGCAACTACTGAAGCCCATGTGCCTAGAACCCCTGCTCCACAACGAGAGAAGCCACTGCAGTGAGAAGCCCGCGCACTGCAATGAAGAGTAGCCCCTGCTTGCCGCAACTAGAGAAAGCCCACGTGCAGCAACGAAGACCAACACAACCAAAAATAAATAAATAAAAATAATAAATAAATTTATTTAAAAAAATTATTAAGTAGTTTAAACATTCAAAGTAGTACAGAGATAATATTAATACAACTAATCCACATGAATCCAGAGGTACCCACTATCCAGATGTTGGTCTGTACCTTTCCTGTCCCTGACTTTATACTCTCATCACATGCTGTGTGTCCTTAAGCAGCATGTAGACTTATTTTATATATTTTAAAGATTTATATAAATAATATATTTATTTATATGTTATATATTTATATAATGACTGTGTCATTTAACACAGTGTGGTACATGTAGATGGTGTTCACTCATTTTATCAGCTCTGTATTTATTGAATGTATGAATATGGTATATTTTCTATTCCCTTGTCAGTGGACCCCTAAGTCATGTCCACCTTGCTATTCCTATCAGTGCTGCAGTTAGCATTTTCTACCTGTCCTCTTGAGCACATGTGAAGGGATTTTTTTAGGAGATCAGGGTGTGTTCTTCAAAGCAGAATTTTGGGTGTGTAGGCTGGGTGCATCTTCACTAGAGAGTGTACCTTGCTCTCCCCCGTAGGTGTCCCAGTTTGCACACCTCTGACAGCGTTTCATAGCTTGTGTCTCCCGTCCCCTCAAAACCCTTGGTACCTGCTACCAGCTGAGTGGTCTCCTGTTGATTTTTGCCTTTCCCTGATTTCTCATGACGTTGAACATCTTTTCATATATCTATTTGCCATCTGCGCTTCCTTTTCTGAACATAATTATTCTTTGAAGGTAATTCCACTCACACGAACTAGGCCTCCTTAAGACGTAGCAAAGGGACAGGCATTGATGCGGGGCAGGGAGCCCTGGCTGTGAAAAGTATAACTTCTCCTCTGAGCTTAGAGCCTGATCTTAAATAAGGTAGAACTGGAGACCATAAGGGACAGTTACTGTTATAATTTTTTAAAAGGAAAACGTGTTAGAGAATCAGACTTTTGATCATTTATGTACCGTGCAGATTACACCCTCACTTGGTGCCTTTACTCTCCGGCTGGGTCTGAGATTGTATATGGGCGACTCGTATGTAGGG